AGAGGCAGGTGGGCTCAGCCACGGGGCACGGCCCAGCCTGCCACTACCTGGAAGATGAGACGTTTTTCTGCTCCTCAGGAAAGAGATTTCTGATCACGCCAAGGGCTGCCTTTCTGTCTGGATCTACGACCACGCTTTTTTCAAGGTGATAAGGAAGAGTCAGTTTAGAAAGAGGGGTTCCCACGTACACACCGGAAAGGACCAAGGGCATTTTTAAGTTCCTTAGCAGAAGAATGAGCCTTTTTTGGGATTTGCATCCGTAACGCAGAGAGGACACCGGCATACACGTGGGGGGCACAGGGACAACTGAAGGGCCCGGCTGTGTCCTCCAAGGTGCTCAAGGGGCCGGGGTCAGGGCTCGGTGCTCACCTGCGGATCTGGGCGAGGGTGTCCGTTACCGTCTTGCAGCGCTTGAGCAGACCATCGAGGCGGTTCGGCTCCTCCTTGAGGAATTTGACGGCTTCCACCTCCACCCGCAGCACCACCCGCATCTTGCTCTGCAGGCTGGGGAACTGGGCTGGGATGGGAGAGCAGGGGGTCACCAGGGCCTCGTCGTGCCAGGGAGCCCCTCCCGGTGCCCGGCTGGCAGTGCCAGGGCACCCCACGCCCACCAAAACCACCACGGCCATCATATCCATGGCAAGGGCACCCTGCCAGACAGAGCGGGATGAATCCTGGGGAGTCTGGGCTGGTGTCTCTCCTGCTCCCCATGCCCATCACCCCTCCTCCGTCCACCTGCAGGCACCAGGCTTAGCCCTGATGGTGCCCCCTCCACATCCATGGGCACCAAACACTGCCCTGGAGCTGGTGGCTTGGTAGCCAGGACCCTGAGGACTTGGTGGTGGGGGCTGACATGGAGCAGGTTGCTCCTGGCTCCCTGCCCGGTGCTCTGCTCACCATCCCGGCTGCTCAGCATCAGCCCAACTTTACAGAAAAGCTGCAGGAAAGCAGAGCTACACCTCTGCCCTGTACCCCACGGCCCCCCATGGTCCCCCTTCTCGCAATCTCAGCGGCTGCTGCCAAATCATCGTTTATTGTCTGCCTTGGCTCTGGCAGGGAGGAGCTCTGCCACTTCGAATCGAGGTGCAGGGCGTCTGTTTGCAAAAGGCAGGATGGGGACAGCCTGGGGACGGGAGGCTGCAGGAGCAGCAAAATGAAGGGCAGCGTGCACGGGGGTTGGCAAGCGCAAGGTCCCACGGGACAGGGGCAGGCAGCAGCTCCGAGAAACCGTGAGCTGTCGGGGGGACTCAGGCAGAGTCCGCAGGACTGACTTAGCAGAGCAAACAGGGACAGGCAGCAGGAGCGTGGGGTGCAGCCCTCACTCCCGCAGCAGCCCAAAGCCTGCAGGACACACACAACGCCGATGGGCACCAGAAGAACCTGCCCTGGGGATGCAGGTGAAGACACCGGCAGCTACAAACATGCAAACCCAGAGGCAATGGGCAACCTGGAGCATCCCGCGCGTGAGGATGGAGCAGGGAGATGCAGGCAGGCTCCGCTTGCCACCCAGCCCCAGACACGGCCACCTCCTCACCCTTGAGGTCTGTCAGCGTCTCCCCCAGCTGCTTGAGCACCACCGCCTTCTCCTCCAGCTCCTGCACAGGGATGAGCCGGTGGTTGTGGGCCAAATCCTTCTGGATCTTCTCCACTGACTTCTCCAGGTCACTGTGAGCACAGAGGCAGGGCAGGGGTGTCACTGCTGCTCCGGGATGCTGGAGAGCCCCAGGGGTGGCCAGCCCGGCAGGTCCCCGCGCGGCAGAGGGCAAAGCACAGCGGGGCTGGGGACCCCTCCCCATGCTAGACATGCAGTCAAGGATGTGACCTGGCACCGTGCAGAGCTGCTGATTTACACCCATGAAGGATCTGGCTCATGGAGGTCAGCATGCAAGGACCCCCTCCCCACTTGCATGCCTAGCCTTGCAGCCAACCCCGGCTCACTTGAGCTGCTGGGTGATCAGCTCCTCCTCGTTGAGGTAGCGGAGCCGCTCCTCTTCCACCAAGCTGCGCTGGCGCTGCAGGGGGTCCTCGTGCTTGCGCATGGTGTCCGTCACCCGCACACTGATCTCCGTCTCCGTCCGCCGCAGCATCGTCTTCACCGTCTCCTGGTTTTGCAGCTGCGAGGACGAGGAGGGGGGGATTCAGGCTGGGCAAGATCCCCCCGATGGGGACTGGTGGGCCTGCAGGGCTGGGCACTTGGAAGGGCATGTCT